TCAGAATCATCTTTTCCTTTTAGTTTTAGTGTGAGCCTCTCCATTTCGGTACATTCATAAATCTTCTGAATAATAATATGTATAGATGGTAAGATGGGCATTTTCCAGTATTGTGCCAGTGAGATTCGTGCTGCTGTTAGTATATGAATGACCAAGTACCTTACTTTGAGAGGATACTCCTGTCACTTTTGCAATCTTTTCCTACGCAGTCAACATAAATCAGCACTGATTTACACTGGCTGGGAGGAAAGGATTGCAATGGATCAAAATAGGCACAACTTCTTAGCTCTGCCAGTGCTAGTTTTATACTAGTCTTAGGCTGGCAGAACTAAGAAATCAAATTGGTTTTATTTGCAGATGACTTTCTTTTATTTATTTCTAAACCTCATACTATTGTCCCGGTGTTGATGTAAAAGATAACTGGTCCAAATTGGAGGTGGTTCCTTAAAAATCTGGTTACCCATTCAGCTGAGGAATATCAGTTCCTTAATTGTGCTAATTCCATTAAATACCTAAGTATATGTATATCAAAAGGTATAGCTAAGTTAGTAACATGTGACTTTGGGCTAGTAATTCTCTCTCAGCTTAACCCATCTCACAGGGTTGTTGTTGTGCAGAAAATAGGATATGTCGAATATGTTCAATGCCTTAAATTATTGTAAAAATAATAAGGGTGGGATACAAAATAAATAAAAATAAATAAAATATAGAGATAGGTTTCTTGCACTATTGACAGATAAATATCATTAAAACTTATTCTTTGGGAAAAGAAGAATATTCAAAATTACAGATTAACAAAGTTGGAAAGGACCTTGTAGGTCAGGTTCCGGCTCGCGAGGCCATCCTGGAAAATGTAAGGGGCCAGACCATGGCACTTCAGCCCTATCTACCCAATGTGAAGAGGAAACATTGGGCCAGCGTGGCTTCAGCACAGTCTACCCAATGCAAAGAGGAAACATGCCAGCAGTTTGGGGAGTGGTGTCAAGGTGGCCACACCCAGCTAGTCAGCCACACCCAGTGAGTGGTGTCAAGCTGGCCACACCCACCCAGTGGTCATGCCCAGCCAGTCAGCCATGCTAGTCTCTTCTTGAAAGCTTCCAGTGAGGAAGCTCCCACAACTTCTGAAGGCAAGCTGTTCCATTGGTTGAATGTTTTCACTATCAGAAAATTTCTCCTTATTTCCATGTTGAATCTCTCTTTGATCAGCTTCCATGCATTATTCCTTATTTGGAAAATAGCTTGAACCTCTCCTCTCTGTGGCAGCCCCTCAAATATTGGAACACTGCTATCATATTATTTCCAGATTTATTTATATACTGAGAGAAATTCAGTGTATATATCTGAAAATAAATATTAAAAAAAGAACCTATTGTTTGCTTAGAACATTTTCTGGATCTATATCATCATGCTTACCTGTTGTGAAATATTAGATCCTGAAAGTCAACAATTAATGTTAATTTTCCAATTTGGACAACTTTGGAATATATTTACCCATGTTTCCCCCCAAAGAGAAATTTTCTTTTGACTTACGAAATAAGTGCTCTGCCTTAGTTTTGGGAAGGTCTTATTTCCCCCCCCCCCCCATATACCGTTATGAGGCAGGGGAGGCATTCCAGCTTCCCAAATGGTCTCAGAAGGCCATCCCAGCATCCACAAAACAGATGGTTCGTGGGTGCCACTCAAGCTACGGCCTCCAGCAAGCATGGCTGTTTTTGCAGCCGATTGCAGCCACAAAAACAGCAGGAGGCCAAGTGACATGCCACACAGGCCTTGCGCCCTCCTTATCTAACGTTGACAGTCACAGCAGGCAATTCCATCCACAAAACAACTGCCTCATGGGTGCTGCTCTGGCCGCTGCCTCCAGAAAGCATGGCCACTTTTGCAGCTGATTGCAGCTGCAAAAGCAGCAGGAGGCTAAGCGACACACCCCACACATCTCACACCTTGTGCTGGCCTTCTGAACAGTGATGGGATTCAATTTTTTTTACTACTGGTTCTGTGGGCGTGGCTAGCTGGGCGTGGCTAGGTGGACGTGGCTAGGTGAGATGACATGCTTATTTACACGGAGACTAGAGACGAACATGTGAAACTGGTACGCTCCGTGCTGCACAAACTGCGAGCTGCCAAATTGTACGCCAAACTGTCCAAATGTGAGTTCCATCAAGAAATAATTGACTACCTAGGATATCGTATCTCACACGAGGGCATCGAGATGGACCCAGAGAAGGTGCGAGCTGTATTGGACTGGGCCCCACCGAGAACCCGAAAACAGCTTCAAAGTTTTCTCGGATTTGCTAACTTTTACCGGCAATTCATCCCGTCTTTCGCTAAAATAGCCATTCCCATCACCAATATCCTAAAGACAAAGGGGGAAACGAAACCAAAGCCCGGCCAACCGTTGAATTGGTCCATGGAATGCCAAGCCGCTTTTGAAAAGCTAAAGCGACTGTTTGCTGCGGAACCAGTGCTGAAACACCCGGATATGGATGCCCCTTTCGTGATCCAAGCCGATGCGAGTGATGTGGCTGTTGGGGCGGTCTTACTTCAATTAAACGAGAAGGAGACACTACAACCTTGCGCCTACACCTCCCGTAAGTTGACTGACACTGAAAGGAGATGGGCTGTTTGGGAGAAGGAAACTTTTGCAGTCCGTTGGGCCCTACTAACTTGGAGACATTTCTTGGAAGGAGCGAAACACCCATTTGAGGTATGGACTGACCATAAGAATCTGGAGGCCTTAAAAACACCTCGGAAGTTATCCCCTAAGCAAGTTAGGTGGGCTCAGTATTTCAAATGATTCAATTTCTCTTTGAAGTACATCCCAGGAGGAAAATTTTTTATGGCAGATGCTTTATCTAGAATGCCTCAATACAATAGTGTTCGTCAAGAAGTGATAAGGCCGATCGTGTCAACCACACAGCTGGCTGCCCCAGTGGTCACCAGAGTGCAAAAGAGGAAGCAAGAGACGGATCTGTCCAGTGACTTGATGGAACAATTTAAGGAGGCCCTGAAAATGGATGAGTGGTTTCTGGCAAATGCGAATAACTGCACCGTTCGAGATGGTTTAGCCTGGGTAGGTGCGAAATTGTATGTACCACAGACCTTGAGAAGCCAAGTGTTACAACAAACTCATGACTCCAAGGCAGCTGTTCACTTTGGGTTTGTGAAGACCCTACACCTGGTGAAACGGCAGTTCTGGTGGCCTTCATTGAAAAAGGACATTGAGACTTATGTAGCAAGCTGTCCAGTTTGTGCCTCAGCCAAAAGACCTCCTGGTAAACCACCAGGTCTGTTGCAGAATGTGGCCAGGCCAACTGCTCCTTCGAAGAAAATCTCCATGGACTTTATAGTAGACTTACCCGAGAGCACTGGGCACACAGTCATCTGGGTGGTGACCGATTTGTTCTCCAAACAAGCACACTTCATATCTTGCTCCAAGATTCCCTCGGCGAAGTCGCTGGCTAGACTCTTCATTATACATGTCTATAGACTGCATGGTGTCCCTGAGCGTGTAGTTTCTGTTCGAGGGGTTCAATTTACCTCGAACTTCTGGAGGGAATTTTTGAAGTTAATAGGGGCTTAAGCTCCACCCACCATCCCCAAACTAATGGGGCCTTTGAGAGGACTAACGGGGTGCTGGAGCAATATCTCAGGTGTTACATAAATTATCAGCAGGACAACTGGGCGTACTTGCTGCCTTTTGCGGAGGTGGCATATAACAACTCTGTCCACAGCAGTACTGGGTTTACTCCCTTCAAAGTGGCCACAGGGCAAGATTTTGTGCCCATACCTGAACTTCCTCATGAAAGACCCAATGTCCAGTCATTGGACGACTGGATATCTCAACTTCAACTCAATTGGCCGGTTGCTCGTAAAGCTTTGGACGAGGCGCACCAGTCTCATAAAAAATTTGCCGACAGGAAGAGAGCCCCACAGAAGTCTTATCAAGTAGGCGACAAAGTATTCCTCTCAACCAAATATTTACAGACCACCCAGAAATCGAAGAAGTTGGGTCCTAAGTATGTGGGCCCTTTCCCTATTGAGCGGATTGTGAATCCTGTGACTGTTCAGTTGACTCTACCAAAAACTCTTCATCGAATCCATCCGGTTTTCCACGTTAGCTTGTTGAAACCCGAGCATACCTGTACATTGAGACCAACCCAGACTGATCACCCCGTACCATTGTTGATTGAGGGTGAACAACATTTCGAGATTAAAGAGATTTTGGACTCTCGGAAAGGGAGGGGTCGTCTCCAATATCTTGTAGCCTGGAAACATTTTCCTCCATCCTATGCCGAGTGGGTAAATGAGAAAGACATTAGGGCTCCTGAACTGCTCAAGAACTTTTATGCTAAGTACCCTGATAAACCATAGAAATGTGTGAAATCGTTAACATATTTTTATGTTATTCTCTCTTACAGGGACTAATGTCCTTTTTCTAGGGGGTCCGAATGTCAGCCTCAAGATATCTTCTACATCTTTTCTGCATCTTATCTGCTGCATCTTCTCCGCTGCTATGCTCATTTCTTTCAGCTGTCATTAGCAACGGGGGGAGGGGGGACTTGGAGGGGAAGAAAGCTGGAGGTGTTACATTCTTGTGTGTGGGTAAGAAAGGGGAGGGGGTGTATAAATTCCTGTCTTTAACTTTCTATTTTCTTGCTAGCTTTCTTACCCTTTGCGCAGCTGCGAAGTTTTATCAAAATATGTCAAGGTCAACGGACAGAGGCCTCATTACCACCCGAAGATGCCCACATGATCATATTCAGAACTTTTAATTGGAAGAGTCTTTTGGACTTTGGGGGGTGGGAACAATTCCATTCCTTTGTATATGTGATCTGCGCGCCAATTCCTCAGATTCGGAATTCAATCTGTAGCTTCCACTTTGATTTCCAGTAAAAGGAGAACTTTGCTCTAATTCATGGAGTCTGAGTATATCTTTCTTGGATCTTGAAGGGAGCACACACTGACACCTAGCCTGAAGCTACGTATGGTGGCCGGGGATGGACAAGGAGATAGAAACTTGGGTCACCACTTGTACACCCTGCCAAGAATCCAGGCCATCACCCCCAGCTGCGAAACCCAGGAAATGGGAGACACCTACAACACCATGGGGCCAAATACATGTCGACTTCGCTGGGCCCTGCCAGGGACAGACATTCCTGATAGTTGTCGACATGTACTCGAAGTGGCTGGAAGTAATTCTAATGCAATCCACCACATCGGAGGTAACAATAAAGGCACTCAGGCACCTATTCACCACCCATGGACTACCAGATGTCCTTGTCTCAGATAACGGCCTGCAGTTCAACTCAAAACCATTTGAGGCCTTCCTAGCCGAACTAGGGATCAGACACGCACTATCAGCACCTGCTCACCTGGCCACGAACGGCCAAGTGGAGATAATGGTTCGGTCCACTAAGGAAACACTACAGCGTATGGACCAAGAGAACTGGCAGGAGAGGATTGACAGAATGCTCCTAGCCCAGCACATCACACCCCACACTACAACACAACGCAGCCCAGCAGAACTGTTAATGGGTCGGTGGCTGCACACTGTACTAGACCGGGTCCATCCAAACTACAGCACAGAAACACCCCCAGACTCCCCAGGGAAATGCAGACAATTCACCATAGGTGACCCGGTCTACGCACACAGTTACACTGGGGGACCAACATGGGTGCCAGCGAGGGTAGTCGAAAACACAGGGCCATGGTCCTACAGAGAAGAGACGGAGGAAGGGAAGCTATGGGAGCGACACATCAATCAACTATGAGGCCAGGTCCCAAGCACAAACAACCATCCAAACACCTGACACGCAACAACTGAACAACACAGGCCACAAACACCAACCCCGCAGACACAAACCCTGGAACAAAAACAGAGACACTTATCTTGCAAAGAAAGAGTCCTGTGGGGTCCTTCTGAGGCCTCAGCCTTGACGGTCCCTGCCACAACAGTAACAAGTTTCGAGATGGTTCCACTGGTGGGGACCAGTGGGTCCCCATCAGCTTGGGCTGCTGCCCAAGGAAAAAGTGAGGTGTGCAGGTCCAGTCACACCCATCAAAGCCCCACCTACGTATGTGATTACATACGGTAGGTGGGCGCTGATTGGAGGAACCATAACGAAGAGGGGAGGGGTGTTATATATGACCAAATATGGCCAAAGAGTGGAGTCAGCTAATAGACTCCACTCATTGGCCCAGCCGCTGGCAGGAAAAACGAAGTCCTGTCAGTGGCTGAAGCTTTGGACAGCACCAGCTATAAAAACCGGTGCCTGCCACAGCTGAGTGGCTTTTTCTGAACTGATTTAAAATAAAGGCTGCTTACCAGTTCATTGTGTCCTGCCTCTCATTTCCCGCGCAGACTCATCAAACAAATTTGACCTCCCAACTCTCTCCTTAGAAAAAAAGTGACCGATCCATTCATTCAGAGGAAAGCTTCTTTTCATGGTGGGGGGAGGGAAGAGATTCCCCTCCCCATCACTCCTGCTGGGTACAGCCAAAGCCTGAAGGTCTGAGAGGGACCCGGACTCCCCGCATATTCCCTGGCTTCCCCTCGCTTGCTCATTCCAACCTCCTCCACCTCTCCATGGAGCCTCCCCACAACTCCGACGCCCAGCCCGGTGCTTCTTCCCTCCTTGCCCGGCTCGACAGTTTCACCATCTCTGCCTCATTGCCATCGTCCAGCTCTACACCTCCCTTCGGGGCTCCCTCTAGAGAGGAGATGATCCTTGCATCCCTCTTCCTCCACCAACCTTCAGCTCTTTCTTCGGTTCTGGGCAGCAGCCCCTCCAAGGCAAGCCTGGGACTCTCAGGGCCCCAGGAGCCTTGCTCCTCAAATGAGCAGCTGCCCACCTGGCACCTAGTTTTTCTGTGCTTTGGCACTCATTGAGGAACGTTTCCCCATGCATGGGCACCCCCTCCATACAGCCACCAGTCACAAGAGGGGACAATGCGAGGCTGACGCCTTTAAGAAAATAACAAACATCCTAACATCCAACAGTGTCCTCATTCAATACAGCGAGATACTAACACTCAGATGCGATGCCTCCCCTTACGGAATCTGAGTTGTCCTCAGCCACAAACTACCCATGGGACAGAAGCCCCCATCACATATTATTCCAAAACACTGTCCAAACCACAACAAAACTATAGCCAAATCGACAAGGAAATGCTCGCCACAGTCACAGGAGTCAAGCACTTCCACGAGTACCTCTACGGAAGGCAATTCGACTTAAGTACTGACCACAAACCTTGCTGCATCCTTGCCAGGGATAAACCCACACTGAACATCCTCTCACTCAGGATGTTAAGATGGACCGTATTCCTGGCCGCATACAGTTAATGGCTTATCCACTGACCAGGAAAAGACATTTCCAATGCTGACGAACTGAGCCACTGTCCCCTCCCAGACTTCACTGAAGACCGGGCGCCATCCACCACAGTACTCCTAGTGGAAGACCTACGGCCCAGACTGATGATGTCAATGGAGATTGCGAGACTCACAGCTCATGACAAAACCATGGTGCAGATTTTAAACTGGGTTTGGAGGGGATGGCCGGAAACTATAGAAGGGGATGAATTTAAGCCATTTAAAAACAGACAGGCTGAACTGTCAGTAATCAAGGGCTGCATATTGTGGGGGCAGTGAGTGATCATCCCCCCACCGCTAAGAACTAGGGTACTGACATTGCTGCATGAGGGTCACCCAGGGATCGTCTGCATGAAAGCCCTTGCCAGAAGCTATGTGTGGTGGCTGGGGCTAGACTAGAGGTTGAGGCATGGGTGGCCACCTGCCCCATGTCAAGAAACCCAACCAGCACCCCCAGCGGCAAGCCCTAGGAAGTGGGAGACACCCACAGCCCCTTGGGCCCGGGTACACATCAACTTCACTGGACCCTACCAAAGACAAACTTTCCTAATAGTGGTGGATGTGTACTCTCAGTGGTTGGAAGTGATCCTTATGAAATCTACCACTACCGAGGCCACCATAAGAGCCCTCCAGAGACTGCTCTCCACCCATGGGTTACTGGATATCCTAGTGTCCAACAATGGGCCGCAGTTCACATCGCAGCCATTTGAGGGGTTCCTAGCAGGATTGGGAATAAGACACACACTATCCGCACCCAGCCACCAACGGGCAAGTGGAGAGAATGATCAGAATGACCAAAGAAACGCTCAAAAGGATGGGCTGGGGGAACTGGCAAGAAAGGATTGAAAGAATGCTATTGACCCAACACATCACAACCCATGCGACAACACACCGCTGCCCGACTACTAATGGGCTGAAGGCTTAGGTCGACCCTAGACAGAATCCATCCTAACTATAGCAACGAGACTCCCGTAGATTCAACAGGAAAGTGCAGGCCCTTTACCATAGGGGACCTGGTCTATGCACACAATTATACAGGGGGGCAACCTGGGTGCTGGCCAAAGTTGTAGGAGTCACCGGGCCCAGATCATACAGGGTGGAAAGAGAAGAGGGAAGAGTGTGGGAAAGACATGTTGACCAAATCAGAGGCCGGGTCCCTGTCACAGACAACCAGCCAGAAGCCCGACATCCACAAACAGAACAGTCCCTGGCAGAGGCCCTAACCACAGAACACACTGAAGGAAATGACCACCTAGTCTCCAACCCAAATAGAACACGGGAACACTTAGCTTTAGAAGAAGAGGTCCCACGATGTACTTCTGAGGCCTCTGGCTCAACAGGCCCTACCACGTCACGAGATGACTTCAAGACTGTTCCACAGGCAGGGACTGGAACAACGGCAGATCCATCCACATGGGCCGCCACCTCAGGAACAAATGAGGTGCGTAGGTCCAGTCACACCCCAGGAAGCCCCACCTACCTACGCGACTATGTAAGGTACGCAAGTGCAAATTGGATGGACAGTAACTAAGAGGGGAGGGGTGTTACGTATTGCCATATATGGTCACAGGAGTGGAGTCTGCTGCCAGGCTCTGCTCATTAGATCAGCCACTGACAGGACTTTATTTCTCCCACTACAAATGCCAGCGCCAGCCACGCCTGAGCAGCTTTTTGCTTAAATCACCTAAATAAAAGTTTTACCTGCTCCTGCTGTGTCCTGCCTCTTCACTCTGTGGGCCCACTTAACAGTTTTGCTTTTGGAATTTTAAAGTTCCTGAAGATGCCTGCTTTTATTGGGTCCATTAGTTGGGAAGTTGATATGTCCTTTATCTATATGTGTTTGTTTTTGCAGTATTATGTTTGCATTTAATATTATAGTTTATATTTTGAAGCTGTATTAAGATTTCATGAAGTCTTAAGATGTCTTAAGATTCTTATTTAAAATGAGTAGAGTAGCAACAAGAATGAGAAATTTATACCCACATTTTTGTCCTCACGTGCACTTTCTACTTTGCCAAAGTGGTTGCTACAGTTGTATAATAAAAGCAATTCTGGATAGCAACTGGAAGTTTTTTGCACATGCACATATGAGCACAGTTCTGAACCAGCATGCCAAAGCTAGTTCGAATTCCAACTTGAAAGCAAGATGTTTCCCATCTGCAGTTGCCGGCAGGTGTAATTAAATGTGGTCTTTCAAGCCACTCAGGCACTGTATCATTTTCCAAAGATTAAAATCACCCCTTTACATTTCGCTTAGAAATGCACGAGAACTAGTACAACTGGTGCTTTGTAGATATCACATGAATCAACAGCACAATCTCCTCTCTAAAAATTGGATGGTGATAAAATGGTGTTAAAGGGAGATTAATCCTCTCTAGATTCTCTGAGAAACTGGAAAAATCTGGAAAAAATGGAGCTGACTTAGGTGTTTCTATGTCACTCTCTACAATCACTAGCATCCTTTTGCAGTACAACTGGAGTATAGACCTTGTTTATTATCTGTTGCTTTCTTCTACTCCACTCAGTGATGCTGCTCCACAATCATTGTTAATTAGATTATTTCTGGGCTGTTTCAGCTTTTTTTTTTTTCCAGAAGAAGAGAAGGCAACTTTACAGGTGACAAATTTTTGCCATTCCAAACATTTACCTACGCTTCCTGTCCTTGCCCACTCACATTAGGCAAACTGATAGGTGGCTGTTTTCCTGTGACAGCTGTTGTAAGGTAGGAAGAAAAACAAAGTCAAAGAATCCACCAATTGCTTTATTTGACTTGTTCTCCATTAGAACAATCAGGACAGCACCAGTCACCAATTCTCATGATTTGAGAAGAATAAGGCTAAATAATTGGGGAAATAAATTTGAGGTCAAAATGTTTTTTCTGCTTGTTCAAGGACAGATCAATAGAGCTTTAACACAGCCATCTAGCTGTGCCTATAGTGACACATCAAAATTAATAAACATAGCAACTATTCACACAAAAAAATCTTATCCTCTGTCTGGGAACATGAGGTGCCTAAATCAGAGTCATATTTACTTTCTCATCCCCAAAATACAAAAAACACATTGGCTTTAAGTTATGCTGATTTTCAAATATGAATGCTTATGCCACAGAACCCTTGCTTAACAGTTAATTTTGTCCTGTACTTAACCTTGATAAATAAGAAGGACACAATCTGTTCTTTGTAGCATCTGTATTTAGGTAATACCAGAGTGAACAACACTGGAGTAGCAAGGTCACAGCATTTGCCATTTGAAAGTGCATCAAAATATCAGGGAGGTGTCAGTTTGGAAGTTGAAAAATGAAATGGAAAAAAAGTCCATCCAAAGTAGGTGATATTTTGCTCACAAAACTGATAATTGTCTGGAAAATAGGATTTTATTACTTGTATTTATGGTACACAA